AGGCTGCTTCATTTACTCAGCACTGATAACATCATGCTCACTGGAATGCGTTTCTTTTCTATTACACGGAATTTTTTGTTGGCGGTAAAAACAAATCAAGATTTAATAAAAAATTCTTTAGTATTTCATATATCATATACAATACGACAGTTTTCTTTAAATCAACAAAATCATTTTACGATAGTGATAGACATATATCTATATTATTTCACATATACAGAGCATAATAAAGTATATTATACTCGATTTAGTTATTAATATATTAAAAAGGAGGAAAATTTAATAGTTTAATATTTTTAATATTTTTGTGGTTTATATATATATATATATTATTTTCCAATATCTTTATTTATAAAGATCATCATTTATTTTTATAAATTTATGTACAGGTTGGTGGTGCAATTGTAACGTACGAAGTTGTGCTGCTACAATTTAATGTCGCGATGAACAAATAAGTATGCAATAGTGTAATGTCAACAAAAGGCAAATATTATAATATATATTATACAAGATATAATATAAGTAAAATTAATTAAAATTAAAACCCCATCCCATACATTTTCATCTCGACGGAATTTTTACTAAATGCTATTTTCACAATTATACTATTTTACAAAAATGTGTATTTTGTAAGATAATTATGTAAGAAATATTTATTATAACAGAAATTCGTTGCAAGAATTATCACTTTGGTTATGTATTATTTCGATATATTTCCTAATACATATTCACAACACAACGTCGAAATTTTCTATAATTTACATAAATTTTCATAATTATATAAATGTATTGTACAATCATTTTTACATTTACACACTCAGGTAAATTAAAAATTCAATGTGTTTAATTTAAATAAAATCTTTCAAAATCTCTCTTCTCTCTCTCTCTCTCTCTCTCTCTCTCTCTCTCTCTCTCTCTCTCTCTCTTTCCTCTAATACACTATTCCTACATATAATTTTTTTTTGTATAAACTTTTTACTTTGTATAAGATTTTTAAATACTACATTTAAATAACATTTTTTCATTCATTCATAGCAACGTTTACAAAATTATTGCCGTATCCTCAACAGATAAAAATATATTTGTATGTTCTTTTAATCCATTCCTGCGGATGACGATGTGTTCTCCACAGCTAAATCTATAGTGCGATATACATATTTTGTAACAATATTAAATTCAACACTGGTGAAATATCCTTTCCGCTTTTCTCCAAAATATATATCAAGTTAATGAAATCCAAAGGAAAACTAGAACAAAAGGTACACCAAGAAATAAAATCATATAAAGAGAGATTACGGTAAAAGTAGTTATATCAAGTAAAAGTAATTATATCATACTAAAAAAAAAACTTTATTTGTTATAGCGCAATTCATATACTTACCTTATGTAAAATTGCAGAAAAATTACCATAAGTAATGTGAAAATATAGAGGACTCCAGCGGTTTTATTTTACCTATATAAAATATACAAAATATAATATAAAAGCTAATAATATGAAAGAGAAAGATTTGATTATACAAAAAAGTCAATTTGTGGAAATTGGTTACAAAAGAAGGGAACAATAAAAAAAAATACCATAAAATGCAATAATGTATGTAATGCAGTTTAAAATTTATTTAGTGATAGCATTTATTATAATAAAATTTTGCGTTTTGTAGTCAATATACTGATATCAATTTCCTTTTCGAAAACCCTCTCTACCTCACCTCACAAGCAGTTACATTCGTCTGGTCCGCTTGCTGGACGGAGTTAAACTGTACCAGAACGAGTTCATAAGTCACGATAGTTCCTGCAACCTACATTATAATATAGTTATACAAGATGTATTAATTATAACTATTATTTAAAATTAATTTAAATCTTGTCTTAATTATAAAGAATAGTGTTCGTTGCTCAGTTAAATTAAATAAAATATCATTACAGCAAATAAATATATATATTTCTAAAATATTTCTTTTTCAAAAGAAGATGTAATAGAGACAATATATGAATAATATGCAAATAATTAACAGCGTATTTTACAGCGCAATAAGTTTGTTTTTAGTCAAATAATTAACCTACATTTAACTCGTTTAAATTGTCATTACTTACGGTTAACACAAGGCTTCTCGTTATGGAAAAAAACTTCATTCCTGTCAAGCTAATATTATCCGTCGTTACTTGCGTCAAGAATCTTGAAACCTGCGCAGCGTTAGACGTTATGTGCAAACTTACATATAAATTTTTGTACAAACTTATGTATGAGTAAAAATACGATCGAGAAAATTAATATAATAATCTTATAAATAACATTTATTATTTTTTTTTTCTTACAACTGATATCGTATAATCTTTTAGATCTCCTCAAGTTTTTTTTATTATGAGAGAGGAAACTTAATTTTCTTTAACAAAAGTTTCTAATTTATTTATTAACGTATAAAGAAGATACATGTTGGCAGATATTAAATTTTTACTTAGAACTTTTTCTCTCGGATTATCGCGTGTCAGTTATGAAGATTAATCGATCTATACTATATGTATAATAATATTTCTCTCAAAACAAACCTCGTTGCTGTAACCAGAACTAGTGACGCTATACAAAATCGGTGCTGGCAGACGGGATTCATCATGAATAGAAGCCGCGTACAGGGATACTGCCGTTGTTCTCGCCAAAAGAAAGCCGAAGGAAAAGCCAAAGTAGATTTTTCGTATGCTACCACGCATTGGACTGTTTAAAAAATTCATGCAACTTTTAGGATGTACTGTTTACAAAATTCGTTCAACTTTATAGGTTCTACTCCCTAAAAATTTTCGCGTGGCGTAATTTTTGATCTAAAATTTCATAAAATTGTCTTATATTCGGACAAAGCTAATATTAGCACAATAAAAATTAGTAATGTCGTAAATTAATTGTAAATATAAATCTAAATATTATATATACATAAATCTAAATATCGTATATACAT